TCCAACCTAAGAGCGATGGCCTCCAACCTAGAAGCAATGGCCTCCAATCTAAGAGCAAAATCAGATTGCATACTTTAATAGTGATTTACCTAAGGTGTGCTCTTGGTGACTAATCGCATGCGAGGAAAGCTTCTCCAAAACTAACTACCAAACTGGCAACTCGGAGTAGAGGTCACACCCCAATGTAAATGGTCTTTTTCAGATTTCAGGTGCACTCAGAGTAGATCATCTACTCTGAGTTCACCTGCCACTTTAAGGGAGAACAAGGGTGGGTTCTTCTGAGAAGTTCTGGTGAAACGCCTCCCACATCTTTCTTGCGAAGCGTCACGGCTCTTCCCCCCGTCACGGTGGTCGACCAGGTCGCCTCGTTGGCCTCGTGACCCCAAAAACGACGCCCAACGCCGTCGCGCAGGTACCAAGTGATCTGAAGACTTTCACCGATTGGTCGCGCAGAAGGGTCCCAGAGCGTCATGTCGACGTTCTGGCGAAAGCGCCGCTGTGAGACTGCACCCACTTCATGGCCTCACCCTAGTCCTGGAGGGCTGGGGGAAGGAGGCCATGAAGGGCTAGAGTAATTCGCCTGTCCTGGAGGGATGGGACGGAAAGTCCAGCCCAGATCCGACGCAAGTGAACGTGCCAGCAGTGGCGACGGCGCAAGCGACGCTGCAATCATGGGGCTTAGATGGGCTTAGAACAAGCAATGGCGGAGGCCGGCCATGTCCCACACATATATGGGGATTCTCGCGGAGTAGTCCGTGTCGTTGTCCGCAGATCATGGGGTGTTGTGTAGAAACCTGCTATCATGGGACGAAGGCGACCAAGGTCGCTAGGCGATACAGGTCTGGACCACTGAAACTGGAAGGAAACGGACATGGGATGGCCATGGATGGCCAATTCTTGCAAGCTTTACTCCACACTGGAGATCCCTTGCATTTACACGAGATCTGGACCTCTGGGTCTCCCTTGCTACTTCCATTCAAGACATAGCCCATGTCCCCCAACCAGAGTCGAAGCCGCCCATGCTGCAAAAGACGATGGATCAAGGACGAGAAAGGAGTTGTAGCAAAACACTTGGTTCTACAGAAAGTTCAGCGTTTCTACCTGCAGTCCGTGGTTCTTTGATCCGATATCCAGCTCGGTAGGGCTTTTCTTCTCGTTTTGCCGATGCACTCACAGCTGTGCGACGATCTTCGCCGAACAAACTCTCGGCCGTTCCCCTCTTCTTTTGGCACCGGTCGCTCTTTTCCCCGGAGTGACCGAGTGAGCCTCGGGTGGAATCCCAGCGGAAACTGGCGCACGTGGTCCGTTTTGGGGCAAGCAAGTCTTCAATACCTGGATCTTTCCAACAACATGCAGTATATTTATGCCTTTTGGATCCTTTTGGATCCTTTTGGCTGGTTTTTTTGATGATAAAGTCAGAAGTTCAGAATAATTGAGTCAACTGGGAATGACACTCTTCAAAGACCAAGTCCTGAATGACTTCGAGAAGGAGTGGGATGCGGAATTTTTGGCTCGACCTCACCTCTAGGCATGTAGATCAAAACGAAATCAACATCGACCAAACATCAAAGCTTTCAGCTTATTTGGGGGGACCCCAAAAGCCATATGCCCCCACAGGGCAGCCGGCATCGAAGGTGTATGAACGAAAGAACCGCATTCCTCGTGCGTTCACCCCACCCCGTGGTCCATTCCCTCGGACCAGTCGGCCGAATGTGCGACCCAACGAGGTCTCCCAGCTGACGACCAACCCCCAAATCTCGTCGTTGGCCCCAAATCCCTCCAGACCGGGCAATCGCGCGGGCAATCCGCGGTTCGGTTTTGAAACCATGCACATGCGCCATGTTATAGCCTGTTTAATCAGTTTTTCTTCGGGTGGGTCGTTCGGGTCGTTTGGGTGGCCGACTTTTTGGGGATGACAGGATTCCGGTTTCCTTCGAAAGCGCTGTGCTCGAGACCCGAGCCGCAGGGCTTTGGAGGGCCATCAAAAACACGGGAACGACCTGGTGTTATGTAAAATCATTAATAAGTAACACGAAACATGATAAACATGTTTGTTCGGGATTCAGCTTATGACATGAGTGGTGGGCAAGGAATCCGTCACGGATTTATATATCGTAAACAGTCAACACCCACGGCCGCGGGGCTTTTTTTTTGGGATGTGGTTGGTCCTTCTTTCTTGAGTGTGATTTCACATCACTGTTGGCCCACGACGGGCTGGATGTCTCATTTGCAATCACCTGGAACCCCAAACAACCATATCCTATGTAAAGGATTTCAATTGCCATATTGGAACAACCATTTGTTTCTGGTTGTTTGGGGTTCCAGGCACATGTTGGAGTTGGAGCATCACCCATGTTTTCGTTTCGTTTGAGCCGAGTATGGTGGAACCCCCCTGGATCGGCGCCATGGGCTGGGATTCCGCGGATCTTCGGAACCTCGGTGGAACTTTCCACTTTTCCGGCGCCCAGGAAGTCCACCCATTTGCTTTGAAGGGTGATCTTCCTGTGTTGAACTCCTGCGCCGTGGTCTCACCCTCAAATGATCCTTCGATCAGTGCCGAACTTTTCGGCGAAGTGCCACCGCCGAGACGGAGCGACGTCACCCATCGCACGAGATGACCATAGCCGGACGATGTGCTCCGGTGGATGCGAAAACCACAAGAGCTGCGAAGAAGAGAAATTCTTTTCTGGTTGAGCCCTGTTGACGTATTTTGGGATGTTTTTGGGGAAAGACACGTGGGGTCTGCACTTGTCCGAAGACGAGAGCCATTGGTCAGAGAGTGGCCCGAAGCCAATCACCCGAAGGGTAGAGATGCTCCTTCTTTCACCCGAGGTCCAAGAGAGGTTCGAAGATGTTACTGTTAGAACAGCTTAGAAGTGACCTTTTCAAGTAGACCTGTCACCTGGGTTCTGCCGATCTCTGGCATTGGTACGCTCAACTGGTTTGACATAGTGTCTGACTTCTCGCATCGACACGCGGATCGGGAGCTTTAACTTCTCCCAGAATTGGTTTAAGGATGTTTATCAGGGAGAATCTACAGGAACGCTGTATAGTTTTTGCGGTAAAACCAAGGGTTTCCTGCA